GGGGCGGGGCCCCGGGAGCGCCCCCGGCCTCCCGCCCCCGGCCGCCCCCCGTCCCCGGGCGCCCGGGCCCGGGCCCGCAGCCGGGCCGTCCGCTCGCTCTTTAGGGGCGCTGCGAGCACATCCCTCCCTCCCGCTCGCCCGCTCGCCCGCTCGCCCTCGAAGGGGAGGCTCTGGCCGACGTGCTCACTCTCACGCACGTGGGCCGCCCTGCCCCTGGGGGAGCCCGAGGCTCGGCCCCGGCTCGGCCGTGCCGTGGCTGACGAGTGTCGTCGCTAATTGGCCCCGTGGGACACCTTTATCCGCCAGCGGACTTCCTCCTGCGTGTTAACGGGACGGGTCTTTTGTTGTTTCCCCCAGGATAACGTGGAGAGGGCTGACGCTCTACAGCTGTCGGTGGAAGAATTTGTAGAGCGGTACGAAAGGCCCTACAAGCCCGTGGTTCTGCTCAACGCACAAGAGGGCTGGTCCGCGCAGGAGAAATGGACTCTGGAGCGCCTCAAAAGGAAATACCGGAACCAGAAGTTCAAGTGCGGTGAGGATAACGACGGCTACTCGGTGAAGATGAAGATGAAGTACTACATCGAGTACATGGAGAGCACCCGTGATGACAGCCCCCTTTACATCTTTGACAGCAGCTACGGCGAACACCCCAAAAGGAGGAAACTTTTGGAAGACTACAAGGTGCCCAAGTTTTTCACGGATGACCTTTTCCAGTACGCAGGGGAGAAGCGCAGGCCCCCTTACAGGTAAAGTATTCCACGGTCAGGTGTTCGGGAACCTTAGACTGACGAGCCGAGCTCAGGCTAACCTTGTGAAAGCGGTGGGTGGCTCCTCCTCCCTGCACAGTGACTCATTTATGGCCCTACTTGGGAAGACTGATTTCCATGGTCTGGGGTCCGCCCAGACATCTGGCTGGATTCCTCAAATTCTCCAGGCATCTACCTGCACACACCCCCCCCCCCCATGCAAGTATGTGTACCCGTGGATGCCTACTGGCTGAGAAGGAGGTCAGAGGCGTCGTCATCCTCTGGGGCTGGATTAATGGATAGTTGTGGGCCACCGTGCACCGTGTGGGTGCTGAGAATTTTCAGTTCTCCTGAGCTGAGCCATCTCCAGTCCAGCCCCAGGGCATTTAAATGTAGAATTAAAATGAGACAACCGGCCAGGCGTTGGTGGTGCACGCCTTTAGTCCTAGCACTCAGGAAGTAGAGACAGTAGGATCTCTGTGAGTTCCAGAGCAGCCTGGTCTACAAGAGCAAGTTCCAGGACAGCCTCCAAAGCCACAGAGAAACCCTGTCTCAAAAAACAAAACAAAAAGAGAGAGAGAGAGACCACTGCTTTTTTTTTGTTTTGTTTTTTGAGACAGGGTTTCTCTGTGGCTTTGGAGGCTGTCCTGGAACTTGCTCTTGTAGACCAGGCTGCCCTGAAACTCACAGAGATCCGACTGCCTATGCCTCCCGAGTGCTGGGATTAAAGGCGTGCACCACCAACGCCCGGCTGAGACCACTGCTTTATAAAGGAAGTTTTGTTTATATTTTTACAAGTGTGATTTCCTGTAATTTATTATGTTTGCTTTGTTTTGGGGTCTTTTGGTTTGTTTTTGTTTGAAACAGGGTCTCACTGTGTATAGTACACTCACAGAGATCCTGCCTCCAAACCTCTGTCTTCTGAGTGTTGGGATTAAAGATGTTTGACACCACAGCTAGCTATGTTATTTATTTGAGGGGCACATGTGCTGCAGTGCCCATGTGGAGTTCAGAGGACAACTTGTGGGAGTCGCTTTTCTCCTTCCATAATGTGGGTCTTGAAGATTATTTTGTTTTCTTTGAGACAGGGTCTCACTATGTAGCTCTAGCTGTCCTGGAACTCCCTCTGTAGACCAGGCTGGCCTCCAACTCACAGAGATTCTCCTGCCTCTGCCTCCTGAGTGCTGGGATTATAGGTGTGCACCACCACTGCCCAGCTTTATATATTCATTTTTTTAATTTGTGTGTGTGGCCCAGCTAGGTTTGGAGTTTTTTAGACAGTCTCACTGTAGCCCTGGCTGCCCTTGAATTGACAGATCCACCCGCCTCCGCCTCCAGAGTGCTGGGATTAAAAACTTGGGCCACCACAGCCAGCAGATAGGTAAACTGTCTTAAGTCCAGCAATAATTTACATCAGTGATTTTTCTTTTTCTCTGTTAGACATGGGTCCATATACAATTTACTTTATGTTGTGTCCCAGCACTTGTACAGTCTCTGAAATGAATACAGCACAATGTTGATGGTATATTACAGAGCCTTTACTGTCATGTACACCTCAGATGACCCTTCATGTCTTCATGTTTCTGTCCTGTAGGTGGTTTGTGATGGGGCCACCACGTTCTGGAACCGGGATTCATATTGACCCTCTGGGAACGAGTGCCTGGAATGCCTTAGTTCAGGGCCACAAGCGTTGGTGTCTGTTCCCCACAAGCACTCCCCGAGAACTCATCAAGGTGACCCGAGAAGAAGGGGGGAACCAGCAAGATGAAGCCATTACCTGGTTTAATGTTATTTATCCACGGACACAGCTTCCAACCTGGCCACCTGAGTTCAAACCCCTGGAGATATTACAGAAACCAGGAGAGACTGTCTTTGTGCCAGGTATAGATGAGCTAGAAGCAGCTGCTCTTCCCAGCTCTGACTACATTCTGCAATTGCACTGGGTTGTTATTTTGGAGTAGAATTATAGAACCAGACAAAAAGTCCCTTCCTATCTGTTGAGCACATGCACTCCTCCCTGTGGTGACAGGTCTAGGGTTTTAAGTCCAAAGGGAGTGCATCTCCACATTCCATGTGTCTGGACCTGGTGTCTGTTAGACATCAGTCCATATACAATTTACTTTGTCTGTTACCTGGTGTCTCGAGGTAGTGCTCCGGGTTCTGCCTGCGTTCTGTGGCTTTTGCTAGAGTACGGAACTGACTGGGTCAAGTTGGAAAATCCCAGCCAGAGCAAGCTAGATTTCGATGGATGAAGTTTCCAGAAGTGAGAGTATTTAAAGGCTAAAACTTTGGCTTTTACAGTGTTAGGCACACTGGGTTACCAGGAGTCAGCACATTGGAGGCAGACAGTCTGTCACTCTGCCCTGTAGCAGGAAAGATCGGTAAACAGTAGAAACAGTAAGGGCATGCCTGTGCGAAGTTAGACATCAGGTCACCCACCTGCAGTCTCTTGACTGGGAGCAGCGGGGCTGGCCCTTACTGCCTTATGTGTCTGTTGGATTGATTGCAGGGGGCTGGTGGCATGCTGTTCTCAGTCTTATGTGTCTGTTGGATTGATTGCAGGGGGCTGGTGGCATGTTGTTCTCAGTCTTATGTGTCTGTTGGATTGATTGCAGGGGGCTGGTGGCATGTTGTTCTCAGTCTTATGTGTCTGTTGGATTGATTGCAGGGGGCTGGTGGCATGTTGTTCTCAATCTTGACACCACCATCGCCATCACCCAGAACTTTGCCAGCAGCACCAACTTCCCTGTTGTGTGGCACAAGACGGTAAGAGGGAGGCCAAAGCTGTCAAGGAAGTGGTACAGGTGAGAAACTTTTCCTTTCTTCTGCTTTGTTCCAGTTCCTTCCCTAGAGGTGGACAGGGAAGAGTTGTCTGCCGCAGCGCTGTACTTGGGAGCAGCGGGGTCTTGTAACCCTGTGGTAGAGAGGGCCCAAGGTCAGGGCTAGTTATCAGGGTGTCTGCTAGCCTGCAGGTGCCAGGGAGCGGCTCTGCATGGTTGATCCAAGTCACAGGCAAAATGTGGTCACAATTGGGATTGCTTCTCATTTTGTTTTCACTCTGTTTTCTCCATTTTCCTTCTTCCTTTTTTTTTTTTTTTTTTTTTTTTTTTTTTTTTTTATTTTGTTATTTTTTTAAAAAATAAAAACTACTAGCACTAGCAAAAAAAAAAAAAAAAAAAAGCCTTTGTTGAGGTTTTCTTTATTTCCCCCTAGAAACATTATTCATTTGAACTTACTACCTTCAGTTCTTGTGAGGCAACTGCCCTGGAGACTTAGGTCCTCTGTTTATCCACAGAACAGATACAGCACGGGCAGCGGCAGTGCCAGCCACCCCCAGCCACCCCGTGCCACTGTGTCCCAACCCTGACCTGGAGGGACCAGCTCTCGGGGTAAGAGAGGGGTTCTGGCTTGCTCAGTGCTCTGCCTCCCTGCTGAGAGGCCAGCAAGGGTGGTGGCTTCTCTTCCCCTGGACTCACTCACTCTGCCCTGTAGGCCACTCCAAGACCTCAGCATACACGCAGGTCCTTTGTTGCTGGTCCCAGTGGACACCAGATCAGGTTGCTGCTGGGGAGGGCTGCTGCTCTTAGGCGTCAGCTCAGTGTCTTCCGAGAGATGGGGATGGTTTCTCTTGTGCGACGTCTTATTTCTTATAAACCTAATTATTTCTGCTCTTTCTAGAATAATCTAACCAGCTCCCACCCCGTTTGCTAGCACTGCACTGAGGGAAGGAAAGGTTTTTTTTAAAAAAAAAAAAAGAAAGAAAGAAAAAATCAGCTAGGCAAGGCTTAGGGATGAAATTAGGAAAAAGAGCCGTTTCTCTCCAGGGAAGACTCTTAAGGACCTCCCTGTCCCCCAGGGAACTCGACCTCCAGAGGTGTGCCTGGTGCTCATGCGGGCGTGTGGCACTAGGATGTAGTTTTCCTTCAGCAAATGTAATGTGGGCAGCTGGTGTGGTCTGTCCCAGCCCAGTCGTGTCTCCTGGAGCCACTCCAGCCGATGCACTGGGCATTTCCAGGTGCTGTAAGCAGTGGAGTCCTCCACTTTGAGTGTGTGCCATTTTGAGTGGGTGTTGCCACCAGCTGTTACCATCCTGAAAACAGCACCTCTTGCCCTTCAGGGTCTTGAAGCAGGAGCACCCTGATCTGGCCGTGCTGGCTGATGCCGTTGACCTCCAAGAGTCTACAGGCATCGCTTCTGACAGCTCCAGCGACTCCTCCAGCTCTTCCAGCTCCAGCTCCTCTGACACAGACTCAGAGGTGAGGCCCCGCCAGCCCACTACCCGGGCCCCTCAGGCTGGGGGGGCGTGGCCACTCCTGTAACTTCTCCCTTTTACAGCCTTACACATGTGTGAGCTACATCTCTGCAGAGGTGCTTGGGTGTTGGGAGGTTTGTACGGCAGTGGTGGGGCTTCAGTCTTTGTTCTGAGCACAAAGCCCTCGTTGGTAGTTTTCACTACAGATGGTAACATTGAAGCCCAGAAACATGCAAACCCTGTGACCTGCTTTAGATAACACTGTCACCATTATTGGTGCTTGCCTAGCCCAGGAAGACCATGTGCTCAATGCCCAGTAATTCAGCAACAGGGTTTCTCTGTGTAACCCTGGTTGTCCTGGAACTCTCTCTGTAGATCCACCTGCATCTGACTCTCAAGTGTTAGGATTTGTTTTGTTTTTGTATTTGAGACAGTATCACTCTTGCTGTTTGTCCTGAATCTTGCTCTATAAACCAGGCTGGTCTTGAACCCACAGAGATCCACCTGCCCCAGCTTCCCGAGTGCTGGGATTAAAGGTGTGCATCAGCACGCCTTGCTGGCTCTTTTCCATTTTAACATTCTGGTTTGAAATATCTCTGTAGAGAACATTGTTCGTCTGCATACAAACTTCACAGTGAATTTTGTCCTTTAGAAGAGCAGGGAGTGCTTTGAACTGAGCTGTCTCTCCAGCCCCTGCAGCTTGTAATACTGATTTATTATGGGTGCACCTGTGCAAGTGTTTGCCATAGCACACATGTGGAGGGCAGAAGATGACTTGGCATTGGTTCTCTCCTTCCTTGTGAGCCCAGAGTCATGAAGCTTAGATCAGGAACCTTTCCAGTGGAGCTGTCTCCCCTGCCCTGAGCTCTTCCTTTTCTCCCTGTGTCCAGTGTGAGTCTGGGTCTGAAGGTGACGGCACAGCACACCGCAGGAAGAAGCGGAGGACGTGCAGCACGGTGGGAAATGGGGACACTACCTCACAGGATGACTGCGTGAGCAAAGAACGCAGCTCCTCCAGGTGACCCGCTGTGGCAGCTGTCTGTGCAAGGATGTGCTCGCAGCCATGGGCGAGGCCCAAGCCTGGGGAGGGCAGCCCATCGGAATTCGCAGAACCAGGCAGAGCTGACCCCGGAGAACGAGGACACTCAGAGTGGGATTGGTAGCATTTGGTACAGTGGCTTTTTGTCCATGGTCGTGTCTTATCATAAGGGCAAAGGTGTGGGTGGTGCCATGAGCGCCCTTTCCCTATTTAATAAAAACAATCCATTTTATATCTTGGACAGTTTTCCTTGGGCATGCTGGTGTCTCCCTGGGCTCCTTTGCTGTGGTGTGTGTGTTGGGAGCAGGGGTGTCTTACTGGTGGTGTGTGTCCTGTGGGGGTGACTAAAGCAGTAGGGGATACTGGAGCAGCCGTCTTAAAGATCTCTCCAGACTTGTTTAAAGAGTAAGAAACAGTGCTGGAGAGATGGCTCAGAGGTTAAGAGCACCAGCTGCTCTTTCAGAGGTCCTGAGTTCTGTTCTCAGCAACCACATGGTGGCTCACAACCATCCATTATGAGATCTGGTGCCCTCTTCTAGTGTGCAGATACACGGAAGCAAATAAATAAATAAAATCTTTAAAAAAAAAAGAGAGAGAGAGAGAGAGAGAGTAAGAATCAGAAAAACAAGACTGGATTGAAGTAAGCCAGGGGTGGGTGGCACATGCCTTAATCCCAGCACTCAGGAGGCAGAAGCAGACAAAGCTCAAGTTCAAAGCCAGTCTGGTCTACAGATCGAGTTCTAGGACTGCCCAGGCTACACAGAAAAATCCTTCCCGGGGGTTGGCAGAGGGAGATGACTAGATCTGAGTAAGTAAACTTCAGAACCAAAAAGAATCTGCTGACTTGACAGGCCCCAGTGAAAGGTGGTGCCAGTTGGGGGTCATGGGTCATGGGTCATGGGAGATAGTGACATTTGAAGTGCCTGGCTGCTGCAGGTGAATGACAGTCCTGTTGCCTTCTTTTGTCTGAGCACTTGAGATTAAACACAGAATAAACATCCTGGCTCCTTTCTTCCGTCCTAAATTCTCTTTGGTGTGACTGGGAGACTTGGGCTGTCTTCCCCACTTGAGTCTATGGTGCTTGTGTGCTTTTTTCGCCCTGGTTGTCCTTTGCACAGCCCGGCTTACTAGTCATTTCATACACTCCCATCCCTGCTTGGGAGATAGGTGATAGCTGTAATTTGAGGTCTGAGGTTTTGCCCATTTGAGGTAGGGACAGTTGAGACTGTATCTTGATTGCGTGGTAATACAGGCTTTGAAGTCAGGATCCTCTTGCCTCAACCTTCTAACCACCAACCATGCCTACCCTTGGGGTTCTGTTTTTTTATTGTTTGCTTTGTTCCTTGAGACAGGGTTTCTCTGTAGCTCTAGATGTCCTGGAACTTGCTTTATAGAGCAGGCTGGCCTTGAACTCACGTAGATCTGCCTGCCTCTGCCTCCTGAGTGCTGGGACTAAAGGAGTGTGCCACCATACCTGGTGGAATTAGTGTTGCCATTTAGCTTTGGCCTGGCTGTGCTGTCTACTTGCCAATTACAGGCAGCTGTTCTTTCCCTGGCTGGCCCAGGGACCCTGGCGGGGCTGGCTGCTCATCCCTGAGCAGACAGACTCCTGTGTAAGCTGTTGGTTGCCACCAACCTCAGCTCTCGTCTTCTGCTCCTACCTCATCCCCTGTCATTGACTGGATCTTCCCTCTCGCCCAAGCTCCTTTCTTCTGGCAGATGCTGGTCTTACTGCTCCCATCGAGTCTCCAGGTCTGTGCAAGCTCAGCCAGCACAGTGCCACCCACACTGGCACTGATGCATTGGGTAAGAGGCTCTGTGCTGTCACATTTGAGCGTGCTGGTCAACCCTGGCTGCAGGGACCTGATCATTTCATCGTTTACTCTCACCTTCTGCTGTTGGTAAGACACAGCTGTGTATCCAAGCAGAGCCAAGAGTGGTGAGGCTTGGGTCTGTGTAAGTACCCGAGTGTGCACCGTCCTCTGGACCTCACTGTGGTTCAAAGTGGCATTCAGGGTAGTGACCCAGCTTGTGCCTTGCACCTTTGCCAACCACTTGGTGCCATATTAGGGTCATTCTACACAGAGGGGACTGGGGAGTCTTGGAATGGTATATTTGGGGGAGAGCAGTAAAAAGACACGATTGGGCCTCGGGGAGGTGATCCTGGTGTTTTTGTCTGAGAACTTGAGTTGTAAATAGGCCGGGTTCTGACAGGTCAGTTCCCACACTTGATGAATGACAAAGGAATGCTGTCTGCAGGGAACATCGTGACCACTGTTCCCTATACTTCTGACCCACATGCATCAAGGGTGGATGGAAAGGAATCCTGGCAGTTGTCAGGGTCTGTGGGTTCTGAATAGCTCTGGTGGGATTGGGGGTTGACCACAAGCTCCTTTCTTGCCTCTAGACTCATCTGCTTGCCTTAATCTGTCCCTAGATTCAAGGAAAGTTACACCAGTAGAGGAGGCTCATCCAGGTCTGTCCCAAGTCAGGCTGGCTGACATAGGGAGCATCTGTAGATGCACTGGAACCATGGGGCTGCCTGTAGAACAACCCGAGACATGGGGCACAAGCGGCCGTCAAGGTCTCTGCCAAGTGATGTCCAGGTGGTGGTTTCTGTTTGGAAAGCATTCTACAGTCTTCAGAAACCCTTTGCTTCACTCGCCCTATACAGCTGCTCCTGTCCCAAACTGTTTAAAAAACAAATGACCAGTGAGACAGCTTAGCAAGAAAGACCAGGTGTCACCAAGACAACCTGAGTTCTAGCCCCAGAACCAACATGGTAGACACGAGAGGTGGCTCAGCTGTTAAGAGCACTTGCTGTCCTGGCAGAGGACCTGGGTTTGGTTCCTAGCGCCCACATGGTGGTTCACAACCCTCTGTATTCCAGTTCCAGGAGATCCTCTTCTGACCTATGCGGGCAAAACACACATAAAAATAAGTCTTAAAAAAAATTAGTTGGCATAGTGGCACATGCCTTCTTTTTGGTTTTTCGAGACAGGGTTTCTCTGTGGCTTTGGAGGCTGTCCTGGAACCAGCTCTTGTAGACCAGGCTGGTCTCGAACTCGCAGAGATCCGCCTTGCCTCTGTCTCCCGAGTGCTGGGACTAAAGGTGTGCACAATCACTGCCCCGTGGCATACACCTTTAATCCCAACACTCGGGAGACAGAGGCAGACAGATCTCTGAGTTGAAGGCCAGCCTGGTCTACATAGTGAGTTCCTAGTTTTCCAAGGAACATAGCAGAGCTCGTCTGAAAAACAATGTTTTTGTTTTGTTTTGTTTTGTTTTTTTAATCTAATAAAACAAGAAGCCAACTGAGCATGGTATGCCAGCAGCCATTGGCAAGCTGAACTGGAAGATGAGTTGAGCTCTAGAACTCAAGACGAGCTTGGCCCACAAAGCCAGGCAGGTTAGGCAAGAGGATCGCTAGTTCAAGGCCAGCCCCGATACAGAAGTCCAGGCCCCGCCTGGGCTGAGTGAGATTCTGTTTCAAAGTGGGTTAAAATTGAAATAAAACAAGGAACCAAAGAAGAGATCTCTTTGCCACCAGGGGGCGAGATGAGTCACCAAGCCAGTAACTGGGAGGTACAGAAATCGCAAATGGAAAAATCAGCTCTCCCAGTTGTCCCCCAGCTGCCAGTGGTGCCTCCCAGGCACTAAACAGCACCCGGAATGGGGACCTGGCCACCATGTAAATGTGTGTCATTTATCCTTGCCAGGCTTGGGGCTCTGCTCCCGCCTCTACTTACTGTCCCTATGGGACACGTCACATAAGCAGAGCAAAGGCAAGCCAGAGGGACTGAGGGGTAGAGTAGTGGCCAAGTACTCAGGACAAGAAGCTCCAGCCTCTCACTGTTCCCTCCGCATGAGCTGGAATGGTAATACAGTAGTGAATTTACCAACACTAGACTGTTTGCTGAGCCACCCCTGGGCTTTGTTAAGGAGCTGGGTTCTGGGCAGTGACAGCTTGGGTTGATAAGAAAGAGCAGGACAAGACTCCAAGTCTGCAGAACATGGTTCACCATCAGCCTGGTGAATCCCACACCACACAAGTGCCTCTGTGGTCTTAGGTCTGTGTGCAGAAGGAGAAGCACTGGTCTCTGCTTGCTGTGATTACAGAGCCCCGATTCCTAGTTGTTCAAGCCTTGAGCAAATGTTCTAGTTCCTGCAGGTGCATCAGGGACGGGCCTGAGCCCCTGCCTGTGTGGAGCTCAGTGGGCAGTGGCTGCTGCTGTTCACAAGAAGCTAGAGAGGTAGGAGGCTTGAGCGAGTGCCTTACCACAGAAGTCAAGAGCAGCTCCCGTCAGATGTACGCATCAGACAGAGCAGCATGAGCCACCCTAGTGCTGTGTCTGAATGTGCACATCTGGAGGGCAACTGAATGTGCCTGAGATAAAGACGGGGCAGTTGCTTGTGCCAGTGCTTTACACAGGGAGAGAGGATGGAACGGGAATGCAGCAGGACTCGGGTGTGAGGATGCAGCTGTAGATCCCTTAGTTATGTGTGGCATTCCCACAGAAATGTTTGGGGTGTGTATTCTAATGAGTTCAAGATGGGGTTTGACTCCTCCTAGCACCCCCAGGTCCTTATCAAGATGATACATTGATTTCAGAATACACTGTCTCCTTCCCCAAAGTGGGATCCCTCCTGGCTCTCAACTGTGTCTCCTTGTTTAGTTCAAGAACTTGAACCACTTATCCCCCAGTAATCTCCGGGGGTGTGGGGGGAGTGTGCATGCCCAAGCCTGCTGTCTCCATGGTAACTAGATGCCTCAGAGGAACAGAGCAGCCCTGAGTGAGCACCCTAGTCTCTTGTAGTTATCAGAGTACCAAACAATCTGGGTTTGTGTCCCTCTTATTGTGAGCTCTACCAAGAAATGCTTGTGACTGCTGCTGAGGTTTTTAGCTCTTGTATAAACCTTTTTCATCATTTCAAATAAAGCAAGTAGATTTGGAATTGGCCTTGTGTCTTCTCATCTTTTCCAGTTCTAAGGTCAAGTTCATTAAGATCCGCTGTGTTAGCACAACAGACTTTTTGCTGTTGTTTCTTCAGACAAGGTCTTTCTGTGTAGCCCTGGCTGTCCTGAAACCTGCCCTGTAGACCATACTGGCCTCAAACTCACAAAGATTCACCTGTCTCTGCTTCCCAAGTGCTGGGATTAAGGGTTTTCAATGCTTTGAGCCAGCTGTGGTGGTGCACGCCTTTAATCCCAGCACTCAGAGTCAGAGACAGGTGGATCTCAGTGAGTTCAAGGCCAGCCTGGTCTACAAAGTGAGTTCCAGGACAGCCAGAGCTGTTACATAGGGAAACCCTGTCTCAAATGGACAGCCATGTCTCGGGAAAAAAAAATTAAATAAAATACATTTTATTTATTTATTTTTTGAGACAGCTGGCCTACAGCTGGCTTTCAACTTTGGACCGTCCTGCCTCAGTTTCCTGGGTGCTAGAATTATATTGGGCTAAAAATACAATACAAATAAATGGAACTGGGAACTGGAGAGATGGGTAATTGGTTAAGAGCCGCTGCTGCTCTTGCAGAGGACCTGGGTTTGGTTCTTAGCACCCACAGGGTGGCTCCAGCCATCCTTAGCTCCAGCTCTAGGAGATCCAGCGCCCTCTTCCAGCCTTCACGGGCACCAGGGTCGAATGTGGCACACACACACATACATACACACACACACACACACACACACACACACTTACATACACACATACATACACACATGCATACATACATGAAAGTAAATCTAAAAAACAAAAACCTGGTGTTGAGAGCAGGGTGTGGTGGCTTACATCTGTAGTCCCAGCACTGGAAGGATCAATACAAGTTCAAAGTCAGCCTGGGCTACTGAATGAAAAACAAAGCAGGATGTGGTGGAGTGATGGGGACTGTGTGTGTGTGTGTGTGTGTGTTGTCTTCGACTAAAATAAGCCTCATATACTTTGGTTTCCCGTCCTGTGGGGTCAAAAGCCAGGAGCCTAGAGACAAAACCCTTCTGCACTGTATGGTTGAACTGTTTTTTTTTTTTTTTTTTTTTTTTTTTTTTTTCATCAACTGCCACCAAGAGAGACGCATGCCCCTTAAAACTAGGGATTTGTTGCTTTAGGTCTGAGCTCTCCCTGTTGCTGGGGGATCTTCCTGTCACAGCTGGAACTCACAAGCTGTGAGTACTGTTTCTTCCAGGCAAAATAACACTTAGTCCAGGAGGATGTAGCTCCTTGGTGGTGCACCCAGTATGCTTGGGAAGGGGGATTCTTCCCAGTCTAGCATCTAGCAGAAGTTGGAACCCCACTTTGTGTGTGAGCTAAGACTGCTCAGGTGTGCCTTTAACTGGCCTCAAGAGATGTTCTTGACTTTCCAAATAGCTGGGATTATTGGTGTGCGCCACTATCCTGGGGAGCCCACCTCCTTTCCATTCCTTTTTAAGACAGGGTCTAATGTAGCTAAGGCTGACCCAGCCTGGCTTTGAATTGACCTTCTTTACTGAATACTGGGATTACAGACATGCATTAACAAGTTGAGTTTGTTTGTTTGTTTGTTTTCCATTACTCCTTTTTTTTCCTGACAAACTTTGTCTGCCTCGTATTTATTCAAAGTAATTAAAAGGTGGGCGGGGAGTTTTAGGGGAATAAATACACAGTTGGTCACAGTGTGTTTTATATTTTAATCAATAGAGCCCTAGAAAAGACATAGAAAAACAAAAACACCCTTCTTTCCGCCTCATTTCCAGCCTCTTGCTGAAGCCAGGATGAGAAAGAAGCCTTTAGGAAAAATTCACAAATGTCACAGCTGTGGGCCATGGCTGCCAGTAACCATGAGGGATTTCCCTTGTCTCTTTGAGACAGGGTCTCATATGCAACCCTGGCTGACCTGGAACTTGCTATGTAGACCAGACTGTATTTGAACTCACCGAGGACCGTCTGCCTCCGCCTCCGCCTCTGGAGTGCTGGGATCCGGGATCAAGGGCGAGAGCCACCATGTCCCTCTGTGATTTTCCCTGTGTGGCATTAGTGTTCAGTTTCCATGAACCTTCTTGGACTTGCCTGCACACGTTTCTTCCGTAGAGTCCAGATCATCAACGCTCTAAGGCTGAGCATTTGTGTGTGTGTTGTGTGTTGTTTTGAGAGGGAATCTTCTACGGCACAGAACTCACTGTAACCTTGAACTCCTCATCCTCCTGCACCCGTCCACTTTTCAAGTGCTGGCATCACAGGTCTGCACCACCATCTCTAAAACGAACTTCTGCACAGGGCTGAAATGAAGCCAAGGTAAAGACAATGAACAATGAGCCCTTCACCCCATCCAGCAAGCCGGAGCTGAGCCGGTGCCCCAGAGCATCAGCCAGCGAGGGGTGAGCTTTCCAGCGCCTCCCAAGGTCCGGACTCCAAGCCACCCTGAGGGCTAGGGGGCGTGGTCAGAGCGCGACTCCGCCCCGGGGCGTGGCCTGGCGCGGGCGTGGCCTGGCGCGGGGCGCGGCGG